CATGCGTTTTTCTGGATTTTTTGGTTGTTATTCTGTCTCTCACTGTTCAAATAAACCTACCATTAAAATGATAGACTGATAATTTCTTCGTCAGTGGGCAAACGTACAAAATCAGCAGGGGATCAAATACTTTTTTCCCTCACTGTAGCTAACGTTAGCCACAACAAAATATAATTTTAACATATACATTTAGCAAATTTGTAACGTACGTTTTGCAAATTCGTAACCCATACGAATTGTAATTTGTAATGTATCATACGAAATGGTGATTGACATCCAGAAATGTAATACATACCATATGAAACGTAACATATGATACTAAATGGAGTGTCACGGATTTACATACAGAATAATACGAAATGGTCTGAGACCAGGTTGCTCCGAATACCTGTGTGTAAACTGAAGACAGATGACACAAAAATGTCACTGAAATTATGTCGGCTGCAACAGTGTTAAAACCAATTAAAACTGTGTACAGTAAGTGTGTATTTAGCATTTGTGAAAGTATGCTGATGTGATCTGAAAGTAGAGGATTTGTGTTTCGATAACAGTACCACAATTGAGAATTAATTCAAGTTTAGATGGAGTATTTGGCTGTTTTGGCTTCCAGAGCCAAATCACCTTTAAACAGAACATGTAAGGTCCTTGGACTATAAGGTGTAACGTTAGGCTCCTTTAGTCCATTATTGGGCAAGTGCAGCAGCAGCAAGCTGCTGTTTATGAGTAGCATGTGACATGTAAAACTAATCTCCATCCAGCTAGCTAACCAGCAAGTGTTTTACTACTGTGCTTGCTCGCTAAAACAGGTTCATAGGCTATGTAACAAAAGTTGTATTTTAGTTGAAGACCAGAAGTAGGCAGGCTAGCTAATTGTAGAACCAGGAATTGACATTGTATTGGGCATAGAATTAGGAATTAGAATACTAAACTGAACAAAAAGATAAATGCAACATGTAAAGTGTTGGTCCCATGTTTCATGAGCTGAAATAAAAGATCCCAGAAATGTTCCATACCCACACAAAAAGCTTATTTCTAATGATTTTGAAGAATTTATCTGCACTGTATGTTAGCTAGCCAGCCAGTTTTAGAAGAATAAAATACAAAATAAATAAAAAAGTGTTTTAACTGCAAGTACAGCGTATTCAGACCCCTTCCCCTTTTCCACATTTTATTACGTTAGTCTTATTCTAAAATGGATGAAGAAAAAAAAAATCCTCATCAATCTACACACAAAACCCCATAATGACAAAGCGAAAACAGGTTGTTAGAAATGTTTGCACATTTATTAAAAATGAAAAACAGAAATACCTTTTTTTTACGTAAGTATTCAGACCCTTTGCTATGAGATTCGAAATTGAGCTCATGCGCATCCTGTTTGCATTGATCATCCTTGAGATGTTTGTACAACTTGATTGGAGTCCACCTGTGGTAAATTCAATTGATTGGACATGATTTGGAAAGGCACACACCTGTCTATATAAGGTCCCACAGTTGACAGTGCATGTCAGAGCAAAAACAAGCCATGAGGTCGAATGAATTGTCCGTAGAGCTCAGAGACAGGATTGTGTCGAGGCACAGATCTGGGGAAGGATACCAAAACATTTCGGCAGCATTGAAGGTCCCCAAGAACACAGTGGCCTCCATGATTCTTAAATGGAAGAAGTTTGGAACCACCAAGACTCTTCCTAGAGCTGGCCGCCCGGCCAAACTGCGCAATCGGGGGAGAAGGGCCTTGGTCAGGGAGGTGACCAAGAACCCAATGGTCACTCTGACAGAGCTCCACAGTTCCTCTGTGGAGATGGGAGAACCTTCCAGAAGGACAACCATCTCTGCAGCACTCCTCTTTTTGGCCAGACGGAAGCCACTCCTCAGTAAAAGGCACATGACAGCCCGCTTGGAGTTTGCCAAAAGGTAACTAAAGAATCTCAGACCATGAGAAACAATATTCTCTGGGCTGATGAAACCAAGATTGAACTCTTTAGCCTGAATGCCAAGCGTCACGTCTGGAGGAAACCTGACACCATCCCTACGGTGAAGCATCGTGGTGGCAGCATCATGCTGTGGGGATGTTTTTCAGCGCCAGGGACTGGGAGACAAGTCAGGATCGAGGCAAAGATGAATGGCGCAAAGTACAGAGATATCCTTGATGAAAACCTGCTTAGGACCTCAGACTGGGGCGAAGGTTCACCTTACAGGCCTGTGCTCTGGAGCGGGATCGATTTGGAGGTGGATGGTCCGTCATGGTCTGGTGCGGTGTGTCACAGCATCATCGGACTGAGCTTGTTGTCATTGCAGGGAATCTCAACCCTGTGCGTTACAGGGAAGACATCCTCCTCCCTCATGTGGTACCCTTCCTGCAGGCTTATCCTGACATGACCCTCCAGCATGACAATGCCACCAGCCATACTGCTCGTTTTGTGCGTGATTTCCTGCAAGACAGTGTTCTGCCATGGCCAGCGAAGAGCACGGATCTCAATCCCATTGAGCATGTCTGGGACCTGTTGGATCGGAGGGTGAGAGCTAGGGCCATTCCCTCCAGAAATGTCCGGGAACTTGCAGGTGCCTTGGTGGAAGAGTGGGGTAACATCTCACAGCAAGAACTGGCAAATCTGGTGCAGTCCATGAGGAGGAGATGCACTGCAGTACTTAATGCAGCTGGTGGCCACACCAGATACTGACTGTTACTTTTGATTTTGACCACCCCCCCTTTGTTCAGTTAGTCACATGTCTGTGGAACTTGTTCAGTTTATGTGAATCTTGTTATGTTCATACAAATATTTACACATGTTAAGTTTGCTGAATATAAACAACATTTCTGGTCTGTTTACAACATTTAGACATTTCTGGTCTGTTTATATATTTTAGAGGCAATTTACACCCCCCCCGTATATACTGTATTTATAATTAGAAACAGAAAATATTCACACCTCTTGACATTTTGTTTTGTTGTTAGTCTGAATTTAAAATTGATTAAATTGTTGTTTTTTGTCACTGGCCTACACAAAATAACCCATAATGTCAAAGTAGAATTATGTTTTTAGAAATGTTTACAAATTATAAAAAAATGAAAAGCTGAAATGTCTTGAGTCAATAAGTATCGTATTCAACCCCTTTGTTATGGTTAGCCTAAATAAGTTGTTGTAAAAATGTGCTTAACAAGTCACAAGTTGCATGCACTCACTCTGTGTGCAATAAAAGTGTTTAATGTGATTTTTGTATGACTACCCCATCTATATAACCCACACATACAATTATCTGTAAGGTCCCTCAGTCGAGAAGTGAATTTCAAACACCGATTCAAACAAAAAGACCAGGGAGGTTTTCCAATGTCTCGCAAAGAAGGGCACCTATTGATAGATGGGTGTGTGTGTGTATATATATATATATTTTTTTAAAAGCAGACATTGAATATCCCTTTGAGCATGGTGAAGTTTAAATACACTTTGGATGGTGTATCAGCACACCCAGTCCCTGCAAAGATACAGGCGTCCTTCCTAACTCAGTTGCTGGAGAGGATGGAAACTGCTCAGGGATTTCACCATGAGACCAAAGGTGACTTTAAAACAGTTAGTTTAATGGCTGTGATAGGAGAGAACTGAGGATGGATCAACAACATTGTAATTACTCCACAATACTAACCTAAATGACCAAGTGAAAAGAAGGAAGCCTGTACAGAATAAAAATATTCCAAAACATGCATCCTGTTTGCAATAAGGCACTAAAGTAAAACTGCAAAACATTTGTCAAAGAAATTACTTTCATGTCCTGAATACGGGCGGCAGGTAGCTTAGTGGTTAAGAGCGTTGTGCCAGTAACCGAAAGGTCGCTGGTTCTAATCCCCGAGCCGACTAGGTGAAAAATCTGTCTGTGCCCTTGAGCAAGGCACTTAACCCTGATTGCTCCTGTAAGTCGCTCTGGTTAAGAGCGTCTGCTAAATGACTAAAATGTCAAATGCATTATGTATGGGGCAAACACAACACATCACTGAGTACCAATGTTTGTCATGGGCAAGGACTAGGGAGTTTTTAAAGATAAAAATAAAAAGGAATAGAGCTAAGCACAGACAAAATCCTTGAGGAAAACCTGGTTTAGTCTGCTTTACAACAGGCACTGGGAGACATTCACCTTTCAGCAGGATAACAACCTAAAACACAGGGCCAGATACACACTGGAGTTGTTTACCAAGACGACATTGAATGTTCCTGAGTGGCCTAGTTTTAGTTTTGACTTAAATCGGCTTGAAAATCTATGGCAATACTTGAAAATGGCTGTCTAGCGATGATCAACAACCAACTTGACAGAGCTTGAAAGATTTTAAAAAGAATAATGTGCAAATATTGTACAATCCAGGTGTGCAAAGCTCTTAAGAGACTTACCCAGAAAGACTTGCAGGCAATTGCTGCCAAAGGTGATTCTAACATGTCTTGACTCGGGTGTAAATACTTATGTAAATTATATATTTATATATTACATTTTTTTTTTAATTGCTACAATTTCTAAAAACATGTTTTCACTTTTTGCAATTATGGGGTATTGTATGTAGATGGATTAGGGGAAAAAATCTTGTCCATTTTCAGTTCGGGCTACAACACAATGTGGATTATGTCAAGGGGTATGAATACTTTCTGAAGGCATTGTATATGACAATATAGGTTGAAAATAATTATATTACACGATATGATACATCACATACCTTCCTTTTATTTTCCTGCATAAGTAAAATCAGGATTATGCCTCTACTGCCGTTCTTTCCAATTAGACTGGTTTGGATATCTTCCTGACCAATATGGCTGCAATTTTCATCCCATTCTGGAACTTTGAGGGTTTATGACATAGCCCCTCTAGTAATTTAATAGGATCTCTATGGTATTGGGTCTGTTTTTATATGGCTTTCTTTTTGTTTATTATTAGGGTTGCACTGTAGAGGTTCAGATTAGAAAGGTTTTGTTGTTATCCATTGCCTAATTTGACATGTTTCCTTTCTGCCTGTATCTTATTTTGTTGTGCACAGGTCAGCAGATGGCATCAGCAATGATCTCCGTCCACACCACAGCTTCTCGCTTTGCCTTGCTTCAGGTCGACTCTGATTCGGACTCAGATTCCGAGTCAGGAAAGACCAGAGGTGGCCGGGACTCTGGAAAGGCTCGGCCTGGGAAGGCAACCGAGGGGAAATCCACCGCGAGCAACGACAAGAAGAAGGAGAAGAGGAAGAAGAAGAGAGAGCAGCAACAGAGCGAGGCCAATGAGGTGACTGGCAGAGGCATTTAACCTCCTCGCTGAACACCAATTTCTGGTGTTCCCAACGTCAGGTCTCTAAGTTTCACTTTCCCTAATTCACCTGAGTTTGTAGACTGATGATGTCTCCTGTCCCCAGTTAAGGAGTCTTGCCTTTAAGAAGCTCCCTCAGAAGTCCTCTGCCCCGCCCCCCTCCCTGTCACTGCAGGGTGTGGCCAATGAGCTACTCCATCCCGCGGTGGGGGACCAATCCATGCACCCGGAAGGCTGGCAGCAATGGAAGCAGAGAGACTACCAGGTACAACCGACAGAACCCCCCCCTCCCATTTAAAAAATATCTACATGATTGCTTAGGGGTGGTTTCTGAACAGGGCCCATGGTAACACCTGACATGGGTATGAATGGACATAAAGATTGCTTATGGATGTTACCCTTTGCTGATATCCCCCAGCTGATCCCATCCTTAATTTTCGTCTTTGTTTCTGCCCAATGCAGTTAACGAGCGAGCTGTATGAGGCAGACCTGGAGAAGGCGCTGATTATGAGTAAACTGGAGTTTGAGGAGCACAAACAGGTACCATACTGCCCCAATGCTACCCGAGCCCGATGGGCCCCGACATTATACATCGTGTTAGGGCATGTTTTTTTCATTAATAACTAGGGTACAGGTAAGGCTATTGCGGTGACCCTATTACCACTCATGAAGGCAGTCAAATTCCACGTGACTGTTTAGTCACGGTAACTCAATCAATCAATCAATTTTATTTTATATAGCCCTTCTTACATCAGCTAATATCTCGAAGTGCTGTACAGAAACCCAGCCTAAAACCCCAAACAGCTAGTAATGCAGGTGTAGAAGCACGGTGGCTAGGAAAAACTCCCTAGAAAGGCGAAAACCTAGGAAGAAACCTAGAGAGGAACCAGGCTATGAGGGGTGGCCAGTCCTCTTCTGGCTGTGCCGGGTGGAGATTATAACAGAACCATGCCAAGATGTTCAAAAATGTTCATAAGTGACAAGCATGCTCAAATAATAATCAGGAATAAATCTCAGTTGGCTTTTCATAGCCGATCATTAAGACTTGAAAACAGCAGGTCTGGGACAGGTAGGGGTTCCATAACCGCAGGCAGAACAGTTGAAACTGGAATAGCAGCAAGGCCAGGCGGACTGGGGACAGCAAGGAGTCACCACGGCCGGTAGTCCCGATGTATGGTCCTAGGGCTCAGGTCTCTCAGTTGGCTTTTCATAGCCGATCATTAAGAGTTGAAAACAGCAGGTCTGGGACAGGTAGGGGTTTCGTAGCCGCAGGCAGAACAGTTGAAACTGGAATAGCAGCAAGGCCAGGCGGACTGGGGACAGCAAGGTGTCATCATGCCCGGTAGTCCTGACGTATGGTCCTAGGGCTCAGGTTCTCAGAGAGAAAGAGAGAACGAGAGAATTAGAGAGAGCATACTTAAATTCACACAGGACACTGGATAAGACAGGAGAAGTACTCCAGGTATAACCAACTAACCCCAGCCCCCCGACACATAAACTACTGCAGCATAAATACTGGAGGCTGAGACAGGAGCGGTCCGGAGACACTGTGGCCCCATCCGAAGAAACCCCCGGACAGGGCCAAACAGGAAGGATATAACCCCACCCACTCCGCCAGGCTTCTCCAAGCTCTGATGCTGCTGCTGGTCATTAGTAGCCTCCCAAACTTGCTAACTGCCTGGTACTCAGCACTCTATTGTCCCTCTAATCACTCTGACATCAATGCAAATGTTTTCGAAAATCTAATCGAACACTTCATGAGAGCCCATGAGCTGATGTTGCTTAACATTTCTATAGACTATGCAGTTGCGGGAGAAAACAAATGTCACATATTATTTAGTAAAGACTAGATTAAATCAAGAATACGCTGATGGGTGACAATATTAGCCTGTCACTTGTGAATTATATATTTTCACTTGTGAATAAGAAACCATGCCTTTTTTTTTCTTCTAATCATAGTCGCACACCTCATGTAGTAAAACAGGCCTATATGTTTTAATAAGGTTTATATCACAACTAAAGTGGCCAAATAACTTCTTAAAATTAAGCACATTAATCTGCTTTACAAGGGGTGTAGAGCCTAACTGGCATATAAACTCAGCAAAAAAAGGAACGTCCCTTTTTCAGGACCCTGTCTTTCAAAGATAATTTGTAAAAATCCAAATAACTTCACAGATCTTTATTGTAAAGAGTTTAAACACTGTTTCCCATGCTTGTTCAATGAACCATAGACAATTAATCAACATGCACCTGTGAAACGGTCGTTAAGACACTAACAGCTTACAGACGTTAGGCAATTAAGGTAACAGTTATGAAAATTTAGGACACTAAAGAGGCCTTTCTACTGACTCTGAAAAACACCAAAAGAAAGATGCCCACGGTCCCTGCTCATCTGCGTGAACATGCCTTAGGCATGCTGCAAGGAGGCATGAGGACTGCAGATGTGGCCAGGGCAATAAATTGCAATGTCCGTACTGTGAGACGCCTAAGACAGCGCTACAGGGAGACAGGACAGACAGCTGATCGTCCTCGCAGTGGCAGACCACGTGTAACAACACCTGCACAGGATCGGTACATCCGAACATCACACCTGTGGGACAGGTACAGGATGGCAACAACAACTGCCCGAGTTATACCAGGAACGCGCACAATCCCTCCATCAGTGCTCAGACAGTCCGCAATTGGCTGAGAGAGGCTGGACTGAGGGCTTGTAGGCCTGTTGTAAGGCAGGTCCTCACCAGACATCACCGGCAACAACGTTGCCTATGGGCACAAACCAGGGGTGATGGTCGGATTCGCGTTTATCGTCGAAGGAGCGTTACACTGAGGCCTGTGCTCTGGAGCGGGATCGATTTGGAGGTGGATGGTCCGTCATGATCTGGGGCGGAGTGTCACAGCAGCATCGGACTGAGCTTGTTGTCATTGCAGGCAATCTCAACGCTGTACGTTACAGGGAAGACATCCTCCTCCCTCATGTGGTACCCTTCCTGCAGGCTCATCCTGACATGACCCTCCAGCATGACAACGTGATTTCCTGCAAGACAGGAATGTCAGTGTTCTGCCATGGCCAGCGAAGAGCACGGATCTCAATCCCATTGAGCACGTCTGGGACCTGTTGGATCGGAGGGTGAGGGCTAGGGCCATTCCCTCCAGAAATGTCTGGGAACTTGCAGGTGCCTTGGTGGAAGAGTGGGGTAACATCTCACAGCAAGAACTGGCAAATCTGGTGCAGTCCATGAGGAGGAGATGCACTGCAGTACTTAATGTAGCTGGTGGCCACACCAGAAACTGACTGTTACTTTTGATTTTGACCCCCCCCCCCCCCCCCCTTTGTTCAGGGGCACATGATTCAATTTCTGTTAGTCACATGTCTGTGGAACTTGTTCAGTTTGTCGCAGTTGTTGAATCTTGTTATGTTCATACAAATATTTACACATAATAATAATAATAATAATAATAATAATAATAATAATTAATAATATGCCATTTAGCAGACGCTTTTATCCAAAGCGACTTAGTCATGCGTGCATACATTTTTGTGTATGGGTGGTCCCGGTGATCGAACCCACTACCTTGGCGTTACAAGCGCCGTGCTCTACCAGCTGAGCTACAGAGGACCACATGTTAAGTTTGCTGAATATAATCGCAGTTGACAGTGAGAGGACGTTTCTTTTTTTGCTGAGTTCATAAGCAGCGAGTGAGTTTCAAGTTTGAGGAAAATTATTTTCACCATACAAATGCACCTTTATAATTAAAGCATTACATGCATAATTGCATTTGCGGTCACTTTTGATAATGGTGTTTTCTGCTAATGGAACATTCGCTCTTATAGCCTACTACCATGTGCGCATTGCTGAGCTTATAATGTGAAGAAATAGCCAAATAGTTTATCAACATTTTAAGCTAAACGTTCTGATCTGTTGCGTCAGACACATTGCATAAAAAAGGTTTTTTGATGCTAGTGGTTGTATTAATTTGGGATCTATCACACCCCACAACTGTCCCAGACTATGTTAATGTAACAGCTCTCATATGGCTCATCAACAAAGGACACGGTGCTGTTCTTTCACTGTTTATTCTGCAAATACATACATAACACTATGTAAACGTCCGAACAACTGCAACCCACCAAGCAATCTCCAAAGTTTAACAACTTTTACTGGAACTGTAACAATTTTATAAAAATGTATATTTATAATATACATTTTATACATTACATATATAACAACATGGCTACAGAGGACCGCTCAACTTATAATGACTCCATCTGACTGCCATAACACATCACCACAGCACATAGGCTACACCTGTACAGGAACATAACATTATTCCATATAATTTGGGAGCACATACCTGCAAATACATACACAACACTGTGTAAACGTCAGAACAACTGCAACCCACCAAGCAATCTTGAGTGACATGAAATAACATAAAATAAAAATACATTTACAATTCACGAGGTGGCTAGCCTCATTAGCAAAGAAAGTGCAAGGCGAACGTTAGCTAGCCTTTAGCGTAACGTCCATAATGTCCATAAAATGTCCATAAAATTGTAAATACATGACACAACTCTAACACTATCACATAACATGTCAACATCGATAGTGATTTATAAAACAATATGGTTTTCAGCCTAACTTACATTAGATATCATTTAAAAAGTGAAAACACTGGGTGCAGCATGGATCACGATACATACCTCCATCAAAGTTTAACAACTCTTTGACTGGATGCTGCGTGATCATGTGCACATATATTATATACACTGGGATGCAGTTACTCAAATAATACAGCAGGTGGCTCGACAACTATACCTACATATACATAAACTGGCTGCTTAATTATGACAACTCATAGAACTAAGGATGTCTATTTCAACACTGTTACATTGGGACAGAATAGTATAGGTCGACTTTTGTACAATGGGGGATAGTAGATTGACATAGGCTAGTCCTTTTGCAGTTCGTTAGGCCTACTCCTCTTGTTGGCTGACGAAAAGTAAATGTGGACAGTTCTTCCGACATCTTCAATATGCACCTCGGAATTGGATGTGTCTCTTAACTTGTAGCCAGTGAGAAAGACCCGATCACGTGACGGAGAGATGAATGAGTGAGAGACTTTTCGAGTTGCGCAGCACACTGAGGGAGAAGGGCACAACGCAGCATTCCAGCCCGCAAAAGGCATGGATTTTTTTAGGGTGCATTACGGCCACAAAGGTGATGCCGCCGTGAAATTCAAGGCATTATCAAGTCCTTGTCAAATTGTGAATGAGAGACTTGTAGTGTTTACAGCCTGCGCAAAAAACTCAGCAGAGCTCATGCCTTTCAAGCTACTTTTTTCAAATTATCATTAGAGTTAAATTAAGCATATAGGAGTACCTATTTCTTTGTTAACCGCTCAACACAGAAAAGCCGCATGTGCGCACTCCCTCAAATCATTTGGAGAAAATATTTATATTTTATTCAGCTTTGTTAAACTGTATTCTTCATACTATAAAATAATGCCACGGAATTATAAGCAAATATTGTCTGCTAAATGAACTAGTGTAGCCCACAGCCATTTGGCATAGCCACATCAGGACCTAAAATAAGGACAACTCAGAGTATGCTATTCTGTTCTTCTGAAATAGACTACATTTTCTTCATATCATGCTTTTTAGACCTGTCTAAAAAAAATGGATTTATTGTGAAGGTGTAGGCTAAATTACATGGATTTATTAGACTTTTTAAAAAGGCTTGAAGGCTATGTGTTAAAGGTCAATTACCTTGAGACCGACAGTTATTTGCTTGACAGTCATCGGCTGATGAAATGTTGTTACTGCCACAGCCCTAGGTACAGGTATCACTAAATTGATCATTATCATTTTGAAGCTGAGCCATTTCAAATCACATCAAATGTTATTGGTCACATACGTGTTCAGCAGATGTTATTGCGGGTGTTGCGAAACGCTTGTGCTTCTAGCTCCGACAATGCAGTAATTAAAAACAAGTAATATCTAACATTTCACAACATATACCCAGTACACACAAATCTAAGTAAGGAAGGAATTAATTAAGAATATATACATATATGGACGAGCGATGTCAGAGCGGCATGGACTAAGATACAGTAGAATAGTATAGAATACAGTAAATACATATGAGATGAGTAATGCAAGATATGTAAACATGATTAAAGTGACTAAGATACCGTAGAATAGTATAAAATACAGTATATACAGTGGCTTGCGAAAGTATTCACCCCCCTTGGCATTTTTCCTATTTTGTTGCCTTACAACCTGGAATTAAAATATATTTTTTGGGGGTTTGTATCATTTGATTTACACAACATGCTTACCACTTTGAAGATGCAAAATATTTTTTGGGGTGAAACAAGAAAGAAGACAAAAAAACAGAACTTAAGCGTGCATAACTATTCACCCCCCCAAAGTCAATACTTTGTAGAGCCACCTTTTGCAGCAATTACAGCTGCAAGTCTCTTGGTATGTCTCTATAAGCTTGGCACATCTAGCCACTGGGATTTTTGCCCATTCTTCAAGGCAAAACTGCTCCAGCTCCTTCAAGTTGGATGGGTTCCGCTGGTGTACAGCAATCTTTAAGTCATACCACAGATTCTCAATTGGATTGAGGTCTGGGCTTTGACTAGGCCATTCCAAGACATTTAAATGTTTCCCCTTAAACCACTCGAGTGTTGCTTTAGCAGTATGCTTAGGGTCATTGTCCTGCTGGAAGGTGAACATCCGTCCCAGTGTCAAATCTCTGGAAGACTGAAACAGATTTCCGTCAAGAATTTCCCTGTATTTAGCGCCATCTATCATTCCTTCAATTCTGACCAGTTTCCCTGCCGATGGAAAAACATCCCCACAGCATGATGCTGCCACCACCATGCTTCACTGTGGGGATGGTGTTCTCGGGGTGATGAGAGGTGTTGGGTTTGTGCCAGACATAGCGTTTTCCTTCATGGCCAAAAAGCTCAATTTTAGTCTCATCTGACCAGAGTGCCATCTTCCATATGTTTGGGGAGTCTCCCACATGCCTTTTGGCGAACACCAAACGTGTTTGCTTATTCTTTTCTTTAAGCAATGGCTTTTTTTCTGGCCACTCTTCCATAAAGCCCAGCTCTGTGGAGTGTACGGCTTAAAGTGGTCCTATGGACACATACTCCAATCTCCGCTGTGGAGCTTTGCAGCTCCTTCAGGGTTATCTTTGGTCTCTTTGTTGCCTCTCTGATTAATGCCCTCCTTGCCTGGTCCGTGAGTTTTGGTGGGCAGCCCTCTCTTGGCAGGTTTGTTGTGGTGCCATATTTGTTCAATTTTTTTATAATGGATTTAATGGTGCTCCATGGAATGTTCAAAGTTTCAGATATTTTTTTATAACCCAACCCTGATCTGTACTTCTCCACAACTTTGTCCCTGACCTGTTTGGAGAGCTCCTTGGTCTTCATGGTGCCACTTGCTTGGTGGTGCCCCTTGCTTAGTGGTGTTGCAGACTCTGGGGCCTTTCAGACAGGTGTATATGTACACATGTGACAGATCATGTGACACTTAGATTGCACACAGGTGGACTTTATTTAAGAAATGATGTGACTTCTGAAGGTAATTGGTTGCACCAGATCTTATTTAGGGGCTTCATAGCAAAGGGGGTGAATACATATGCACGCACCACTTTTCTGTTATTTATTTTTCAGAATTTTTTGAAACAAGTTCTTTTTTAAATTCCACTTGACCAATTTGGACTATTTTGTGTATGTCCATTACATGAAATCCAAATAAAAATCCATTTAAATTACAGGTTGTAATGCAACAAAATAGGAAAAATACCAAGGGGGATGAATACTTTTGCAAGGCACTGTACATATGAGATGAGTAATGCAGGATATGTAAACATTATTAAAGTGGCTAGTGTTCCATTTCTTAAAGGAGGAGCAGCAGCATTTGGTTGTGCTCTGCTGCGCAGTACATATCATGGTGTCAGAAGTTCTTCGACCTCGTCAAATATAAGACCAGAACATTGTCAGAGTACACAGGAGAGATTATTTTACAGAAATTAATAATGTTCCTTGAGTTCTGTTGAAGTTTAGAGTGACGAAAAGTAGCTAGTTTATAGCTAGCTGCTATCCGTCTCGTCATTGAACAGAACAGCAAGCAGAGGCGTTGCTATGGATACTCACACAAGCAGAGACATGCAGGGAGCAAGGGACAGATAGACTAGCAGCTAATGGATACTAACGTAAGGTATTTCTGGGTTCGGGCAGGGCCGGGCCTTAAATTTGGCAGAAGCAATCGGGCCTGAGTAGGATCTGAACACCGCGGGCATGGGTAGGGCCCCGTGCAGGACTCTATACAGCACGCAGGACTCTATACAGCACGCTGTCACTAAACATCTATCATTAAACGATTAACAGCAATCAGAACCATAGAGAGATACAACTACTGACCAAAATGTTTATTTTTTGATGAGGAAATGAATGTTCCATTAAAGCAGATGCTGTTCTTTTAAATTGTCTCATGTCAGGATGATGATGGAACAGATACTCCCTCTCCCAAGTCCCGAGGAGGAGGAGCAGCGGCAGGGAAGAAAGACAAGAAGAAGAGCCAGCAGGGGAAAGACAAGAAGATGACTGTGTCTCTGAAGGACTTCCAGGCAGAGGGGGGTGAGACCACCAGTGGCTAGAACTACTCTTATGTTAAAGGCCCAGTGCAGTCAAAAAAGTACAGATTTTCCTGTATTTTATACATATTTGCACACGATTAGGTTGGAATAATACTGTGAAAATTATAATAATGCCGTTTTAGTGGAAGGGCTGTTTGAAAAGACTGCTTGAAATTTCAGCCTGTTTTGGTGGGAAGGAGTTTTGGCCTGCCTGGTGACATCCGGTGGTAAATCTGTTAATATAGAACAATAATGTGTTTGAACAGATGGGAACTTTCTGTACCCCCTCGTCTCTCTCAGTAACTTTCCATACACATATTTTCTGTTCCCCTAAATCAATAAGTTATTATATAGTGACAGTAATAAGTATAATTCAAGTTAGAACCCAACAAGACCAATAAGAAAGAGTTCCCAACCTCTCTGCCAATAATAATAATAATACATTATAATAAGAAAACATTTGGTGAATGCTTATATTTGTCCTATTTCAGACATGTACAAGTATGTATGTGTGAATTGGAAATGTTTTTTGTTTTTTTGCATGAGACAGCCTTTGGAGAGTGGGGTCATGGCCAGGGTCTGTCATTATCAATGGCGACTTTGGAGCAATTAGGGTTAAGTGCCTTGCTCAAGGGCACATCGTTTTTTCACCTTGTCGGTTCGGGATTCGAACAAGCAACCTTTCGGTTCCTGGCCCAACGCGCTAACTCCTAGGCTACCTGCCGCCCCAATAATCGCTAGTTTTCAGTTTTCCACTCCCCACTCAGACCAGTACCAGACAGTCCTACCTAAATTCTTGCTTGAGAAATTACACTGGCTAAGAAGCTATTTTTGTTTCTTTTTTGACCATTTTAATTGAAAACCATCACAGTAAGGTACTTAATTGTTCCCCAGAAATGATTTGACATTGAGATGCTGCATTGGGTCTTTAACATTGAGCACTGCCCCCATTTCATCAATACAATGCCACCATAGCAGTAACACTAGGACTACTTGTTTAGCAATCAACGAACAGCAGGTGCTGTGTATAATATGCTATAAATGTCTCGTTTTCTCAGTGGTCCCACTCATGTTGTTATTCTGTTTTTTGATGACATTCACTTGACTTGTTGAATTCTCCTTAAAAACCACGATTCTCCTTTACAGATCAGCTGAGTAAGAAGCAGGAGAAAGAGGTGAGGGATGGCATCATTGTTGTATTCGCTGTTTGCCCTACAGTGCTTCGGTCGAGGGTTTAAACCCTGTAATGTAAGGATGAATGTGATGGACAGGTGATGATATGACGTGAACAAGCGCCAATTGTGTAGGGTGTGTGTGAGTGATTTTAATCATTCAAATGCTGAATCCATTGATGACATCACTCTCCAGGAGCCCAAACCGCCCACACCTCCAGAAGACAAGTTCTTCAACAAGCTTGAGGATGACGTTAGCAAAATCGTACAGCAGGAAAAAAGACGGGAGCAGTTTTCTAACAGCGCTGGCGCCGAGGTCACGACTTCAACGGAGCATGAACCGGTGAGACCGACTGCAAATCAGTTCATTCCAAGCATAATGGTTTGGTGTTCAAATGATATTTACAAGTCGACCATTGGAGTGACTGCTGATGAGACCATGGAGGACAAGGTAACTATCGCTCAGAGCCTAACTGTGACTCCCATCACACCTCCCAGGACCCCCGAACTGAGCAGCTAAAGGACGACCTGGAGAAGAAAGACCAAGAAATCGACAAGTTAAAGAAGGTCATTTCACAATGGGAGGTGAGTCATTGGAGGGATACTGTACTGGGCTTTGGCTGGAGCATGTCACGAAGGCAAAGGACAGAATGCCGCCATTTGGCATTTACAGTTGGTGTGAATGTGTGTGACATCTATATGGTCCCCATGGGGATGTTGAGCTCATTTATTGTTCTCGATCCTCAGGTGAAATACAAAGAAGTAAAAGCCAGAAACTCCCAGCTCCTGAAGATGCTGCAGCAGGGAGAGAGTACAGCTACTGCACTCCTAATTAAATCTGAGACTATACAGTCATCCATTACTGATGCATTAGGTAGGCCTACTTGTTCTCATTCATTCTCTTCTTCTCTCCACAGTGAAAGATAAAGCGGAGATCCTACTGCAGGTGGAAGAGCTTCTAAATATCAAAGAGGAGCTGTCTTCACAGGTGTGTGTGTGCTGTGCGTGTGCCTCAAACCATTAATCTTGTGCAAAGCTGGCATCCTGGTTGAATGACATTTATTTCACTCTCCAGGTGACATCACTACATGCCTCACTTGAACAAGAGAAGTCAAAAGTGAAAGGTTTACAAACAGATCAGCCAAAACACCATCAGGTAAGACTGCACATAGATACTCATCACACTTGCAACTAAAACTCAATACAACACACATTTAGTGTATCTCATAAAGTGTCCCTGTCTAAAATCAAACCAACAGCTCTCGCCTGGTTCAGAGAGAGGGATTAGGGTTGCAGTGTAGAATGACCCCAGTTTGTTTGTTGTGCTGTTCAACCTGTGTAAAGCTGTGAGTCGAATGTGATGTCTTTAAATCTGAGGTATGTGTGTGCCCGCGTGCATCTGTGTGTTCCACTCTTAGATCAGGCAGGAAGTCACCTCTAGGGAAATTACCATGGTAACAGTGCAGCAGCAGTAGTCCTCACCCTCCAGAACAGTACACTAAACGGACACAAAACGAAACCATTAACTTTGTCCAACTCATTTTTTAAACTTAATTTATGAATATTGACAAATATAAACATGAATATAAAAAATTAAATTAAATCATTTTAGATGTGGAAAATTGTTCTATATATTGTTGAACATAATATACTCTATGGGCATATCAAAGTTACAGAGTGGGATCTCTGCTACTTTGAGAATGATGATACAATTTGGAAGCGTTATCAACCGAGTGAATGTGAAAATATATTGAAAATGGTTGCCCTCTGCTGGTGATTTGCAGGATGTGCAATTTTACAAGTAGGAGGACTGTGATTGCTATTATGCCAATTTTGCTGTATAGTATGGGCCAAATCTTTAAAAGTAGCAGATTTCCCACTCTGAAACGTTGATATACCTGTATAGTATATTATGTTTAGGGCTGTCAAACTATTAAAATAATTAATTGCATTAATGGCATTAGTTAATTTGCTCAAATTTGGCCCTAAAGAAAGATTTTTCCATTTAAAAAGCAATGCATTGAGTTACAGGCATACTATGCTTTGATTGCAAGGGACGGAAACACAATTATCTAGGCTACATCAGAATGTTTTAATAGCATTTTCACTATAAACAACACAAAAGTCACTAATATACAGCTAACTATTAATGCGCCCAATGTTTAAGTAGGCCTACTCCCTCTTATCAATGTTCCTGAAGTTTAACACTTGCGCACACACACTCTCTTTCTCTCACACACACAGCTTTAAGTATTGTTAAAGCTTCAGGCATTCTAAATGAGTGTGACTATAGGAAAAAAAATAACTGGCTCTATGGATACATAGCTTTTAAATCTTCTACTGTTCAGATAACTTTATACACAGGCCTACACACTCTCCTTCCCTTCCCACACCCTCACTTATGGCCTAAACTCACGAAAGACATGCGTGCAAGGCATGTGATTTATTTTAGAACGCATTGTTTTGAATTAAAATGAGCCAAATGTTGTCATTATTCACTTTTTTTTTTTTAAAGCTCATTTGAATTGGAATAGGTAGGTAAGGATTGAGGCTTTACCATACAGGCTAAATTAGACCAATTCATCCACTAATGGAAACACAACATCGCTATGAGCAAAGATTATTGGAGATATGGACTATCCTGCTAGCATACAGTCACTGTTCTGCCTGTCCCATCTTTTTCACCCGCCTCACTCTGCTTGCTCTGCTCAACGCTTTTGGGTGAGTTTTGGAGAAGGGAGCAACTGCAGCCACAATTTGGGGCATTCCTGCATCTGCAAGAACCCATCTTTATACTTCTATTGGTCAATTTTTAAAGATATGACTGCAGTACATAGGTGGGAGGCACGGGCGATCCACTACAGTAGATGGTGGTAATGTACCAAAACACTGGATGCCAACCGCCAATAAACCCCACAGAAGAAGAGGCAGGGGCAACAATGGCCACTGTTTTCCCGAAGTTCTTTTAACGGCGAGGGCAGGTGTTCCTTTTCAGCCTATTTTTGTTCTTGCAATCCAAATGTGTGCATAGTCAGTGGTCAACTTATCATGTTGCTAGCTAGCTAGGTAACATGACTTGCTAAACAATGTAGTTTGTTATAAAACCCCAAACTACTGACTCGAGAGTAGTTTAAAACGACCCGCGACATGCGCACGAATCCTAGGCAGAAAGAAAAAAACCTAGCTTCGGTAATTGGGCGTAATGTTTAAATGATTTTGTAGAATGGCACATTGTCAATAGCGTTGTGTTCTGCGCTTAAAAGGGCCCGTGCGGAAACACGTGTGCTTCACAGGTTCCGTGCGGTGATTAAATGGAAAAGCGATAAACAGGTCACGTGTTAACGCTATTGACCCGTCGCCAGACCTCAGTCTTAAGGGGGGCATATGAAATGCATGGGAGGGCAGGGCACAATTAGTATTAGCCTACAGTACTACAGTATGTATATTTAATAATACATTCCCTCAAGTGGGGGGAGGGCACAAACATTTTTGGGGGTGGGCCCGGCCCCCTATGGCCCGCCCATAGCGACGGGTGTGGCTATTGGTGTTTATATTTGTCTTTTTTCTTTTCTTTTTAAAAATCTAAATACTATTCATATTACAGAGCATGCGTTAAAGCTTCATATGACACCAATTTTTGCTTTGTAGCACCTACAGATTAAACATTAGTCTTAAAGGATGCCTGGGTAATGCCAAAATGTCATAAATATACCATTTACATTTACATTTACGTCATTTAGCAGACGCTCTTATCCAGAGCGACTTACAAATAGGAACTTTGATTAATTACTTCTCAAGTATGCTGAACTGATAGTGTATTTCAGTTGAAGAGTATTAGTTTAGTAACAACTTATCATGAAATGTTGAATCTCCTGAGCTGCCGCTTAAGCCTTGGGCGACTTGGCCAGCCCCAGAGAGGGAATCCACCAATTAGCTCAGTATAGACATGCTTTGCACTCCATTGTTTCGATTCCCAGTGGCAGAAAAATAAAAAAAATGTTAAGTCGTCTATAAGACGCGCAGACAAGAAGAAACATGTATTGCACAATTATCAGAAAGTAATCTCTCTGTCTTCAGGCCCTTGGATGTAAGCGGCTGACCCTCTACTCTGTACTTCTGTACTATGCATTCTCTGGTCTCCTCATGCAGGAACAGGATGGGAAACGGTCAGAGTTATTAAAGGCTGAGAAAATGACTGCTCAGATCAAAGCACTTTCTGTTCTTCAGGGTCTCCTTGTTTGTACGGTTACTCTCTACTCTGTCTTCTGCCTTGCTCCTGTATAATACCAAACCACCTGGAATGCTATGGAGTTTTTTTTTCTTCACTGAAGTAAATAACGCTTTTCTGTTAAATCATCACTCCTCTTTTTGTGGATGATTTCTAGCACACTGTCTGCTCCCCCCTTTTTCTGGTATGATGCCAAATGACAGGTGTGAAATGTATGTTTTTTTTTTCTTTTCACTGCAAGGTAAATAAACGACTTTTTCAGTGTAAAATCATCTCTGCTTTTGTGATATTACTATGTGCTAATGGTACACCACAAGATGTAAAACTTATGTTTTTGGTGCTGATGAGAGGTTAGCATCTTTTAGTGGAGCCTCTTCATCACTCATCATTCATTTATGACAAATCATATAGGTCATGGCTGCATCGGAATGAATTTAGGAGTGTTCAGAAACGTCTGGAAATGCATTACAATAGGTGAAAATATTCAGACCTGCTATCCCTGCACTGTTACCTCTGATGCAGTTTGCAGATCGTCTTCGAAGCAAAACGGACTCTTTCCACACCCCGTGAGCAGAGAGATGGCTGATACTGTGGGTGAGGACAAGCAACCATCCACTGCTGAATGTAAGATGATCAGAGTTACTGTGAAAACACCAAAAGAAAAAAAGAGGACAGCACCATCACACAGGTCTGAGGTCATCGGAGCTGTCATATTTGCTGCGCATGTGGAACCCCGTTTATTCGGTCTGGTGTCTGATCTGAACATGGGCTAAACCACACCTCTGGCAACTCAAAACATTTATACTGTACACCTACTCATTCAAGGGTTTTAATTTATTTTGACTAGTTTTCTACATTGTAGAATAATAGTGAAGACATCAAAACTATGAAAATAACACATGGAATCATGTAGTAACCAAAAAAGGGTTAAACAAGTCAAAATATATTTTAGATTCTTCAAAGTAGACACCCTTTGCCTAGATGACAGCTTTGCACACTCTTGGCATTCTCTCAACCAGCTTCACCTGGAATGCTTTTCCAACAGCCTTGAAGGAGTTCCCACATATGCTGAGCACTTGTTGGCTACCTTTCCTTCACTCTGTGGTCCAACTCATCCCAAACCATCTCAATTGGGTTGTGGTCGTGTGATTATGAAGGCCAGGTCATCTGATGCAGCACTCCATCACTCTCCTTCTTGGTCAAATAGCCCTTACACAGCCTGGAGGTGTGTTGGGTCATTGTCCTGTTGAAAAACAAATGATAGTCCCACTAAGCGCAAACCAGATGGGATGGCGTATCGCTGTAGAATGCTGTGGTAGCCATGCTGGTTAAGTGTGCCTTTTTGAATTCTAAATAAATCACAGACAGTGTCACCAGCAAAGCACCATCACACCTCCTCCTCCATGCTTCACGGTGAGTTGTGCATTGAAGTCCACAAGCGAAGGGAAGTGGTGAGAGTAGGAGAGCGCAGAGATGCGAGAAGGAATACAACGTGGCTGTGTGTTTACGCGTGATCAGGGGTGTATTCATTCCGCCGATTCTGTTAAATCGTTTCCTTAACGGAAGCAAACGGAACAAAACGGGGATAAACCAATAGAAACACTCGTTTGCAACTGTTGGACTAATGATTAGATCCTATATCAGCTAGATGCAGGCAAGAGTGTGCAAGGCGGTATTGTAAACTTTAATTCATAGACTAGGTTGTAGCAACCTCATGATGGGTATAGGGAAAATTAGAGTATCATGTAGTAGCCTAAACCTATTGCTGTTACATTGAACTGGGTGAATGGAATATGAATGACAGTCATCCAATATACTGTAATAGAAGGCCATGCTCATGAAAAAAATGTGTCCTCCCTCATCTTAAACGGCACTGACCGCCACTGGTGTGAGTAGGTGCGAAAAGAAAGCCTTAATGCTGTCCCCAAAATTGGACACTATAACTGCCCTCCCTTTCTGTTGAAGGCCTCCAGAGTTGTCTGCCTCTCTTTCCAGCAGCACTGCCTCAGAACTTGCCCAACTGGCAGGCCCTCAACAGAAACAACCCCCTACTGCTCCCCCTTCAACCACCCCCTCCCCTCAGCCTGGTTAAGACAAGCTGCATCCCTCCCCTTCCATCTGGGGCTTCCTGTGGAGCAGATGGGTGTGGATGAGTTTGTAGCCAAACATTTGATGGGTATTTGCTACCTCAAAATCAACCTTTGTCCAATGAAACTGAATAGAAATGGACATCTTTCTCTCCTCTCT